TTTGTTAGCTGGATCTGACCTTGAATTCCACATAGCATTTATTCAACAGGTGAGCAATTCTGGAAAAACATATTTTGACAATATAAGTACAAAAAGACAAGACAAGCTAATGGAAACTGCACTTAATACTATGCTCTTCAAAAAAAAGTTTAGTGCATAATGTTGTGATTAGTTAGGTTATTGAACTTTTTTTTAAATTATATTCTGTAATGAACACATTGTCTTTACAAAGAAACACACTATCTTTTTATATACTGTATGTTAGATTATATATACTTCTTCACTGCATACCATAACTGAGTTGAGAAAGAGTAACAATGTGAGGGATTGTCATTCTTATGACAGGTGTACAGTATTTTGCATGGAAATAGATAATTATTTTGGAATTCCAGAAAAGGACTGAACTTCTCAAATCAAGGCAACATGACATTTTTCAAGCCAGAACCTTCATTCAGGCTCTGTTTACCTAAAGAACGGTGGAGTCATTTGCTCAGAATTAAATGTATTAATGATACCTGATGATTGTATGTGTGATACTTAATGACTGCGGTAATTACTAGTATTTACCTGTTACTTATTTGCTTATATAAATGCTAGACATTTCATTTTTTTAACACTGAGAAAAGAGAAACTTTCATAAACTTTTACTACCATAAAATTGTGGTTCAGTGATGGTAGTAATGGGAAGAGATTGCTTGTTGTGATACTAAAGATAATTTCATGTTTATTCTCCCAATTTTAAAATTATATATTGACACATAACTCAAAACAAAAGGAAATAAGAAACAGTTAATTTGCAGCAAATCATTCAAAAATGCTTTTAATCAATCATTTTTGCACAAGTCTCCAGTGATTGTACATAGGTATGTACACAAAACCTTTAAGCTGTACAAACCTAAAAGGTTACACCTTTACATTTTTCACAGCAATGTATTTTCTCAGAAAAGCAGAAAAATAATATTTTATTAAGACAAACAAGATGTTTGTTATAGTGGCAGTGCTCAAACATCACACCTAGAGTAAAACTGTTTAAGGAATTAAAAATAATTATTTTAACAACAAACAACAAATGTTATGATTATTCGTGACAACGTATCAGGTAACTGCAACTTCATAAACCAGAAGAATGATCCTTCATACTGTACTAGCTTCAAGTCCACTCAATTACATTCAAAAGCCATCCATCTGGGAAACTTAAAAATTAATGATTAAACCTTCTTAACCTCCCTTTTATAAGTTTACTCTGGTAAACCATGGTAAAAGCAGAGTAGGGTGTAATAAGCACAGTGATATCATGGCAAAGCACAAATAGGTATAATAAGGCAAGATATAAACCAGAAGATTCCCTGGCAAGGCAAAGAAACTGCATAGTGTAGTCATGGTAGAACCGAGAGAAAACATATTTACTGTGTCCACTATCGTAAGGGTCCAGTCATTGTAAAAACTATATAGACAGAGACTTACAGAGTGTGCAAAGGTAACAAAAAGAGTGTAAATGCTATCTGGAGTCTTGCTTCATGTGTCCTTTACTGTACATTGGCATTAACCAAATCTACTATTGGCAAGATAATGCATACATTAAATTTAATGTAAAATATTGTATATAGTGTATGTAAGCGTTATTATTCTAAGTATCAGTGTGTTTGTGCATATG